ATGTGTATATATGGGGGGTGGGCTTCCTCTCTGGCATCACAAGATGCTCAAGGTTTATTTTGTATCTTTCCACCTCCAGTTCTAGATACACTCATTTTTCCTAAGAGGTCTTGTTTCTTTGTATTGGAGAAAGTAAAATCTGATGCTAGGTATGTTCATTGCTACTGGGGTATTATTGCTTCTAACTTCATCACAATGAAGGAGTAAAAAAAATGTATCTGTGCATGCTCATGTATAAATACACTTTTTTTTTTTTTTTTTTTTTAGTACTGGGGATCATACTCGGGACCTTCCGCTTGTGAGGCAGGCAGTGGAACCACTGAGCTAAATCCCTGGCTAAATACATATTTATAAATATTTTTATTTATAATCACCTGTATCTATATTAAGATAGATATGGGTTCATACTGATGTCCACAACCTTCACCCATTACCATATGGATCATTCTAGATGTCTACCCTCATTTGTCTGTAACCTCCCACTCCAATAGTGGGAAACCTGGCTCCTGCCATCTGCCATCCATCCATTTACATAATTGTTAAGTTCTAGTCTGTAAATATAGTGGTTTCCAATTATCTGTATCCATATGTAAAACAGAGTATCAATTAAAGGATCGTGTCCATATTCCTTAGCATTAACTAGCTCAGAGTTCATTCATTTTCCAAATGACTTCTGTCAGCCTCTTTTCCTGCCACTTCCCGACTCCATTCAGCATGTTTGCTTCATGTAACATAATTGCAATGCAATTAGATTCTTCAGCCACAGTCTGTATTCTATTGAGATTCCCGACTTCCTGGTTGGTTTTTAAATTGGTACACATTAAGACAGGTTTACTCTATTTCTCCAAAGCTCTATGGGTTTTTATAAATACATAAGTGTCATATATCCTTCATGACAATATTATCTGGAATAGTTTAATGACTAAAAACATTTCTTGTGCTTTATTTATTCAATGCCCCTCTGCCCTGGATTCCTGACAACTAATGATATATTTACTCTCTATATAGTTTTGCCTTTTCCATAATGCCATGTGAGTGGAATCGTGCATCACATGTAGCCTTTTCAGATAACCAAAACAAACAGGACAATGATGAACAAAGCAATAGGATTTACATTTCCTGACTGCACAATATAATACAAATGAAGATGGTGGGTATAGACGTGAGGATCAATGGAATGGAATTAAAAGCCCAGAAATAAGCCTCTGAGTCAACTAATTTTAGAAGGGTGACAAAATAGTTCAATGAGGAAATAATAGTCCCCAACAGAAAATACTGGAACGGCTAAACCATATGCAAAAGAATGAAGTTGGACTTTACATCATATCATTTATAAAAACTAACTTAAAATGAATAAAAACCTAAAAGTAAGAGGTAATACAACGAAACTTTTAAAAGAAAATATAAGGGTCTGCAAAATGTCTGTTTATTTCTGATGCCCATTTTTGGATTGAAACTTTAAACTTGGGAGGTCTGATTTTTTAAAGTTCTTTATATATTCTAGATAGTAGACCTTTTTCTGAGGAATAGCTAGTATTTTCCCACATTGTGGGTTGTCTTTTTTCCCTGTTCGTGGTTTCTTTGGCTGTGCAGAAGCTTTTTATTTATTTTTTTTCTCATTGAGTTTATTGGCACATTTTAGGTATACAGTACAGTTACATTCATTATTGGGATATTGTACCTTTACATGATAGGTCTTGGTTCTCATTTTTTCCTCATACTCCTGCCCTCCCTTCACCCCCTCCTCCCTTCCCTATTTACAAAAACTTTATTTCCATTTTTTCATTTTCTCTTATTACCTTTCCCCTACCCTTCCCACTTCCCCTACACCTTTAGCTCTTTTCTTCCTATTTCACATTGTCAATTATACCATTAGGATCTTATTTACGATTATAGTTTTTCTCATCAGAGAAACTATTCGGTATAGAAGCTTTTTAATAAGAAGAGATCCCACTTGTTGATTCTTTGTGCTAGTTCTCGAGCAAAAGAGGTTTTGTTCATGAAATCTTTTCCTATACCAATGTCTTCAACCTCTCTTCCAGCCATGTTAGTGTTTCTATTTTAATATTCAGATCTTTAATCCATTTCCATTTTAGTTTAGTGCATGGTGAAAGTTATAGGCCTAGTCTTTATATATAGGTCTTTGGCAAGTTGAAAGCCAATTTTTCCAGCACCATTTATTGAACAGGCTATCTTTTCTCCAGTGAGGGTGTTTGGCTCTTTTGTCAAAGATGAGGTGGCTGAGTGTGTCTGGATTTGTTTCTGCAACTTCTAATCTGTTCCACTGGTCCTCAGGTCTGTTTCTTTGCCAGTACAAAGAAGTAGAAATAGCAAATAAACATATGAAAAAATGTTCAACATCACTGGTCATTCAAGAGATGCAAATGAAAATAATGTTGAGATTTAACATCACCTCAGAAAGAATGACTACTATCATGAAATCAATAACAAATGCTGGTGGGGCTGTGGAGAAAAAGGAACCCTTCTCTATTGTTGGTGGGAGTGTACACTGGAGCAACCACTGTGAAAATCAGTATGGAAATACCTCAAAGAGCTAGGATTGGAGGTCCCATTTGACCCAGCTAATCCCCTGCTGGGTATCTTCCCAAAAGAATTAAAAGGATCATACCACACTGATATATGAGCACCTTATGTTCACAGCAGCAGTTTTCAATAGCTAAAACATGAAAAAAGCCCCATTGCCCATCAACAGGAGACTGGATAAAGAAAAAAAAAATTTTTTAATAAAATGGAGTAGTACTCAGCCATAGAGAATGAGAAATTAGAGGCATTTATAGCTAAATGGATGCACATTGAGGTGATACTCTGAAGTAAAATAAATAGGACACACATCTGTAAATACTGAATAGTGTCTCGGTATAAGAAACTGAAGATGTAAATAAGGATAAAAATGTATAATAGATAATGTGAAATAGGAAGAAAAGGGACAAAGAAGAAAGGGAAGTATGAGAGGCAGGGGAAAGGAAAGAGGGGAATGGAATTAACATGAGAAAATAGAAAAATTGAAACAAAATCTCTTTAAATAGGGGGGGTGGAGGGGGATGAAGGGAGGGTAGGGGGATGAAGAAAAAAATAAGCACCAAAATATATTATGTAAAGGTACAAATCTGCAATGATGAATGTCATTACATTGTATACCTAGGATGTACCAATAAAATAATTTTAAAAATAAAGTGAGCTCATCAAAACAGAAAACTTCTGTGCACCAAATAATTCCATGAAGAATGGAAAAAGATGACCTACAGAATGGGAAAAATGGTAAATGATATGTTTTATAAGAGTATAGTACCCACAATACACAAAGACCTCTCCCAATTTAACAACAAAAAGACAACCCCAATTTAAAATGGGAAAATGATATAAAGACATTTTTCAAAAAAGGATAAACAAATAACCAATAAGCACAATATATGCTTAACATCATAGTCATTGTAGATACAATCAAGCTGGCAGTGGTGGTGCACACTTGTAATCCCAGCATTCTGAGAGGCTGAGGCAAGAGGGTGGCAAGTTTGGGCCCAGCCTGAGCAACTTAGTGATTTAGAGAGAACCTGTCTCAAAATTAAAAATTTTACAATAGCAGGAGATGTAGCTCAGTGTGCTTTGGATTCACTCCTCAACACCACAAAAAAATTGTGAATAAAAGTGATGAGATGCCACTTTCTTCTCACTGAACTTTACAATTGAATGAGTGAATTGCATGATGTGTAAATTATATCCCCCCCAAAACTAGATAAAGATGAAATAATGGTTTCCAAGTATTTTTTCCTTGTTAAAGGCATTTTTATACTTATAAAATTAATGTTTTAATGTCATACTGTTCATATACTTTTATAAAATTTGATAATTTTTATAAAATTTGATAAATAATATGTATTTTTAAACTTCACTTAATAGTTTAGGTGAGTCAATAATTTGGTTCTCAATTCCACATATTTTAATCCTTAGTTGTAATGGTCATCATAAATGAAAATTATATCTTACAAAATAGAGAGGTTCAGATAGCATAACTTTTCAAAGGGAATATGTTTGGATATACTTACTAAATCGTGAACATGACTTTTCAGTTTTCATCATCCAATAGAGTCTTTCATATAAATTTAGGAGAAAAATATCTTGATCTTGGAAATAAATAAGAATAATTTGCATTTATATATTTTCAACAGATGAGTTTAAAACTGAATAAGCCCTTTAGAATATTTTTTGAATGTTGGCACACTATTTTTACAATTTTAAGTTATGCAAATAGGAGAGTTTTATGGGTGACATATAACATTTTCAGCCATGAAAGTCAAATAATGGAAATGTTTCCAAAAATCATTCTAAAAATGTTCCCCCTATCTTGAATTTATATCATTAATAAAACATAATTTTTTCCTCAAAGAAGAAATTGAATTTATTTTCTCAAGAATATCTGCTAGGCAACACAAAGAAATGGTGAATGCTTAAGGGGAAAGGAATGCTGATTACCCTTCCTCGATTATTATGCATTGTACACTTGTATGCAATTTTCACACTGTACTCCATAAATATGTACAATTTTATGTGACAGTATAAAAAAACTGAAAAACAATACGTTAGTATAATTAATGACATTTATTGAAGAAAAGGTCAGCAAATACGGAATATTTACTTTTTTAAAAAAGAGAAAACCATGTAGTTCAGCTTTATGTTTGACATAAAGTAATATGTGGAGCTGAAAATATTTTATAATCATTTTCCATTTCATAATCAGATATTGTACATGTTCTACTATGAAAAAACAATCCACCTAACAAGGCTCACAAACTACAAAACATCAAAAAACTGGAAGGCAAAAGAGAAATGTGAGAATACCTCATGAACCTGATCATTCTTGTTGAATAGAAATTATGTCATATTTGATGGCAAGGGCAGAAAATAAAAACTCATTGTCAATCCATATATTTCATATCAAAAAGGAAACATTCTAAAGATGACAGTAGGAAAATGAAAAGTACCTGAGTCCTTGATGTCATTTCCACTGCTGAATTAACCACACATGTGGATATGAACAACCACATACCTGTGTAAAATGAGAAATCTCTTATTCATTCATTCATTCATTCATTTATTTATTTATTGGTACGGAGACCAAACTCTAGACCTTGCATTTGTGAGACAGGTGTGGTGTCACTCAGCTAAATCCCTGGCCTAAGAAATCTCTTATTTTTTAAATATAGTATTTTGCTTAAGTTTGCTTTCTCTTGATTTACAGCCCAATACATTCTGTCTTGGAATCTTTGCCCTTGCTATTTCCTCTGATCAGAGATGCTTAAACTAGAGCTTCATATACCTAATATTTTGAGATGGCATTTCTTTATGCTGCCCAGCCTGGCCTAGAATTTCAAGGTTCAAGTGATCCTCATGCTTCAGCCTCCCAAGTACCACCATACCTAGCTCTAATTTATTGATTATTGACCATTCAGGTCTCTATTTAAATCACATCCTCCCTTCCACTTCAGCTAATGTCTTGACTCCTAAGTTGCTCTTTATTATGTAAGACTATGTAATTTTCTTTCAAGAATTTTACTCATAAAACTTTCTGACTTGCTTATTTTATAGTATTTTCTATCTCAATCTTCCTCATAGGCAAAGACTATCTTGCTCATTGCTCTATGCCAGTGCAAGAAACACTCTCCAGTATATGAATGTTTCTTCATCTCCTGGCATCCTCCATGTAGAGCTACTCTTCAACATACTAAATTTTCAACAATTCACAGAATACAATCTATTTTCTTTTGTTTCTGTGCCTTTGAATTTTCTTTTTTTTTTTCTTTTGAGACAGGGTCTCACTATGTAGGTTGAGACTGACCTGGAACTCATTATGTAGCCCAGGGTGGTCTTGAACTCACAGTGATTCTCCTGCCTCAGGCTCCAGAGTGCTGGGATTACACGCCCAGCTAAATTTTCTTTTTGTTCTGCCTATATATTGTTTTTTCCTTTTCTCAGTTCTAAAATTTAAGATATCTACTATGTGTCAGTATTCCCTAGATACTAGAAATGTTAAATTTGGTAAAAACAAAGTTCCTGCCACCATGAGTTACCTCCTTACACTCACCAGCATGGTTCTAATTAAAAGACAGATAATAACAAAAGTGGTGAGGATATGGAAAAACTAAAACCTCCTATCCTGCTGGTCAGAATATAAAATGCTGTAGCCAGTTCAGAAACAGTCTGGCAGTTTCTCAAACAGATAAACATAGTTTCCATATGATTCAGCAATTTTACTCCTAGATATTTCCCAAGGAGGACAGAAGATGTATGCCAACACAAAAACTTGTACATAAAAATTTATAGCAACTTTATTCATAATAGCCAAAATGTGGAAACAATTTAAATGTTTATTGTGCTAAGAATACATAAAATGTGGTATCTCAGTTTAGTAAAATATTACTTGTTGTTAAAAGGAAATGAAATAAACCAGGTATGGTGCATGCCTGTAATCCCAGCAATCTGGGAGGCTGAAGTAGGAGGATCTCAAGTTGAAGTCCAGCATGCGAAACTTACTTAGTAAGATCCTGTTTCAAAAAAAATAACAGGCTGTGGATGTAGCTAAGTGCAAAGTCCCTGGGTTCAATCCCCAGTACTGTTAAAAAAAAAAGGGTGAGGGGAGGAAAATTTTTACATGCTATTACGTTGAAAAACCCTGAAAACATAAGTGAATGAAGCTATACCACAAAGTGCTATACGAGGGGCAACTGTAAACTACAGTGAATTTTAAAAATAACTATATTACAGTAAAAGCCATATTGCCATTCATTACTCTCCCTCAAAACATTTTCCCTTGCTTCAGACACACGTATCTCACCAGTCATCCCACTTTCTTAAAGTCCTTCTTTGGGAGTATCTTTGGTTGTGCTGTCAGGGCTACTTCAATGTCCTGAATCCATTCAAAATGTTGGCCTGTCTTAATCATTCTGGCTTTGGGGATGAACCAGAAGTTGTACAGTGCCAAATCTGGTGAATGAGGAAGATGAGGATGCAGTAATGTTTTTGAGCTTTTCTATCCACTGGATGACACACAGCAGATACATTCACCATACTTTTGATCACACTGCAGAAGAGTACTCATAAAAGGTGGCTTTCAGAGCTTCAGAAAGTGGCAAAATAGAGGGATAAATATTCAAAGGGGAGTATTTTGAAGGAGATTAATGGTGATATGTCTTTTAAGACAATAATTTTTAAAAATTTAAACATGCTGTATATTTTAATCACACCTCACGTTAGATGATTCTATTTAAGTGAAATGTTCAAAATAGGAAATATATATAAAAAGATGAAGAAAGTAAATCAGCAATTCTTTTGAACAAGGTGGTTGGCGTGATGGCTAAGGTGTACAGGGTTTCTTTGGGGAGTAATATTCTAAAGTTGAGTGTGATATTACATATACCTCTCTATGAATCCACTAAGAGCCAGTAATTGTATACTTTAAATGGGGAAATTATATAGTTTGTAAATTATATCTCAATGAACCTGTTAAAATAGATAGATAATCAAAACCCCACAAAAACATCACTGCTGTCCCTAGATATCTCTGAGATTCAATACTAGTTTTCTCTCTTCAAGGAAGTCTCCTGCTCAGTTTGCCTAGAGAATTCTGCAGATGCTTATGTTAAGAGCTTGAATCACCTGCTGTTGAAGTTGTATTCCCTGTTCTTCCACCATAGCGAATGTTCATTGGGAGTTATGTTCCTTCTGTTCTGAATCTTGGGTGCTTATAACACATATGGTAAAAGCTTCTGTAAATGTATGCTGAAAAAAATAGAATGTGAAGAAATAATTGGAATAATAACAAGATAAAAGGAAGGGTTTTGTTTTGTTTTAGAAAAAGAAAAAATGCAAAACTTAAAGTTTGATGGGGTATGAAAACAAAAAGAAAACACACAGTAGTCTAAAGGTGAGAATGCCAGAGTTCTTTATTAATACATGGGTTTCTGACATAAAAAGGTCAACACAGCTGGACAATAAGAGCCTCTGTTGCTGTTCTATGTGGTGATCACTAAAAAAGAGCTTACATTTTAGTTTCTTAACAGGAAGTTTGCAGAACAAACAACAAAATGTCAGGAGAGAGACAAGGATGGGAAGAGAACAGTATAAATAGATAGTATGGGGTTTAAAAGAAGGTTTAGGCATAGCCCTTTCAATACTGAGAATATTTTTTTGTAAGTAAGAGTGTTAACTAAATGCATGCCAAAATTTGTTTCAGTAGAGTCTCTGTGCTACTGTCAGTAGTTCCTCTCAGATCTGTGAAATAACTTTTGGTCTGTGGCATGTTTACAATACGCTTTGAAATGTCAAAGAACTTCCACCAATTTCTGCTGCTATTTATCTTCTGTTGTCTTGCACCATCATAAACTTTGCATTTTAACAACCAGCATGACAATTTTCTTTGGCAATTTTGTGGTACTTCAAGTACTATTTGCATAGCTTGTGATAGCCAGGGTCAAAATAGTTCGTGAAATCAAATTAATAATAGCAGGCCAGGGAGGGCGACACACACCTATAATCCAAGCACTTGCCTCTTCCTGAGGCAAGAGGACTGCTGTGAGTTCAAGGTCAGCCTGAACTACATAGTGAGGCCTTGTTTCAAAAAAAAAACAAAAAAGGAATAATAATAGAAGAGAGAAATACCACAGAGTAGCAAAAAAAAAAAAAAACAAAAAAGGAATAATAATAGAAGAGAGAAATACCACAGAGTAGCAAAAAAAAAAAGCAAAACAATAACAAAACACAGATTAGTGAGGGTCATTCTAACTGCAAGTGCAGGGTACTTCACAGTACTCTGGCTTAAGGAGTCCAATCAAAAGAGTAATGAATTACCATGTCTAACATTTACTGAAGGCTTTCTGCAGGTCTGCTATCCATAGAATATATGTTTACTCTAATCTTCAAAGTGGTTCTTCTGTGGGGGAGCAGTGCTATTATTCCATTTTTACAGAGAAGGATATGGACAATATGGCAGTCTGACTCCTGAACCCATCTCTTAACCACCCAATACACTACTCTCTGATATTTCATTATGCTACCAGTCAAGTGACTGTGGCAAAGATATATATTAATTATGCTTATATACCTACTGTATATGTACATATATATGTATACATATATAGACATATAAAAGACAGCACTTATGACATGACAAGCACTAGAAAATTAATGAATTGGCATTCTATGCAGAAATGATAAGCTATAACTGTATTATTAAAATTATGTACTAAAGGGGCAGGGCCTTAGCTCAGTGGTTCCACCACCTGCTTCACAAGCGCAAGATCCCAAGTTCGATCCCTGATGCCAAAAAAGAAAAAAAAAAAAAGGAAAAGAAAACTTAATAAAATAATGTACTAAAAATTAGTCTGGAATTGACAGAAGAAATTCCACAGTGTACTTAATGTTCCCTAAACACTATTATCATTAACACCTTGTGTTTCTACACCATTTCTTTTCAATGCCTGGACTTCCCTTTGCACTCTTAGATCCTTGTAAGATAATTAATTACTACTCATCCTTTAAAATATATAGTAACACTTTTTCCATGGAAACTAATCCAACTCCCCCAAGCAGAATTAGTCACCTGCTTGGCTAGATTATTGTTATTTTGTTAATATACTTTTATACCATTTATGAATGCTCAGTGTAGGAAACAACCTAAGTACTTTAAGCAGAAGATTTAATCCAGGGAATTAGATGCTCATAAAATTTTTTCAAAGGTTTTAGGCTGGGTCCCTGAGGTGATTCTCAGAACATGATGGAACTGACTTTCTTAGTACAAGAGCATGCTCTAGAGCTGTGGATTTGGGGATCAGAAAGTTTCTAATACATCAGCTGAAATTGCCTCTTGACAGTCACAAAATTGGTTAGTAGACCTTGGGATGCAGCAGCAGAATAACCAGTCCTCAGGCTGCTGTTTGCCAACAACAACAACAGCAATAAAAAACCTAAGGAGGAAAATGTTCACTTCCAATCATGTATGAGTGCACCTAATTAGTGGAACCTAACTTATATCCAGAATACTAGATGAAAGGAAACCTAGGAAATTTGGCTTTTAGGTTTTCAGGCTTTGCAAACAGCCAGCCTCAAGACAAAAGAAACTGAAGCTGAGTGAGCCAATCTGTATCACTCACCATGGCGCCGTTCAGGCTGAATAGATACTACATGCTTTCATTAGCGGCTGAATCTCGAATGTTCAACCCAGAAAAGGTATGGCTATATCTAACTGGGTTACGTCTTAAACGAGAAGTCAGTGTGCTAATATCTTACTGAAAATCTTCACTGGCTCATAGTTTCATAAAATAGAATTAAGTAAACACCCTTATTCTGAAATCCAAGAACAATTACTGTAAGGTTCAAAAGTTTCTTTCCAAAACCATCCCCTTCCTTGGCGCTCGCTACTTCAAAGTATCCCTTTTCCAGATGAGCCACATTTGCCTCCATGCTTTGCTCTTGCCATTCTTCTTTCTGAAATGCTCTCTTGTAGTCTGAGTGGGAACCTAAAATTCTCTGGATTTTATGCACTCCCCATTTTTTACAATCTAGTACCTACCGTGCCTCTTTTATGAAGCTCTTCTGGGAGATCCGATTTTTTCATGTTCTTTCCTCTTCCCACTTGCTGTTCCACTGCCTATTGCACTTGAACTGGTAACTTAATTTCCACCTCTATATCACTCTGTAGTTCCCTTAGCGTGTTAATTGCTTCACAGCAGTAACTTGTTTTATACTTCTTTTTATTCCATTCACTGACCCAGTAATTTGTATCTTCATTAAATATCTGGCTGTGGGTAAGATGTAAAATGATGATGATGTGATTGTAATAATTTTCCTGAGTTTTTATTTAATGTACATTTGATTACTAAAGCAACACGATTTTCTTAAACACATACCATTTGCCCTCCCTCTCTAGTCATTCATTCTGGAAACTCCTACTGATAAAATATTGAGAACAAATATCATTTCTGTAGACTTTCCTGGTTGTCCTCAGTGGGCTGGGTTTTAGGATACCTACCTCACAGCAATTATTCTACTGTACCAATTAGTTTCTGTTGCACAAAAAAGCCCAAACTTCCGTGGCTTAAACTAACAATCATTTATTTCTCACGAGTCAGTGTGGGGTGGGTTCAGCAGGGATGGCTCTCCTCTGTTCCACATAGTTGGCTGGGTATAGAATGATATCTGCAAAGGCTGGACATTTCTCTCTCTACATGGTCTTCTGATCCTCAGAAAATACTAGTCTTCAGTTACTTTCCCAAGAGAATGAATCAAAAGACCACGCAAAAAGATGCATAATGCCATCAATGCTACGTTCTACTGGAAAAGCACACCATAAGACCAGTGAGATTCCAGGGGCAAGGGAATAGAATTCACCTTTTGATTAAAGCAAAAAAGAATAGGCTGAAAAGAATCCATGGCTATCTTTATCTACTAATCCACTATACCTCACCTATTTATTGTCTGTCCTCATAACTAGGTTTAGGTATTCTCATGAACCTTGTCTTAATATGTAATGTTCCAATGTTTATTTTAATGTTCTGAGTACAAGGTGTAGTGTAAACTGCTCAATATAAGGTATGGGGCTGAAGAAATATCAGATTCCATGTTAAGCAGTGGGTGGAATACAAAGCTATGTGGAATGTATAATATAGTCCTCCCTGAGGATCCTATAGTCCCTCTTACCAATTGGTAGGAGAGAAAAATAGAGGCAAATTTAAAAGTGATATATAAAAGAAAAAACACTAACACAACAGGAAAATGTGAAACTACTATATAAATGAGACACACAGGCCAGAGAAGTAAGCACATTTTTGAATCTGGTGTTTTAAAAAAGACTTGTACAATATTTAGAAGACAGGGTTTGTGTTCTCAAATAATAGTTGAGCAGTTAGTAGATGTAACCTGTAAGAACTATCCCAGGGACTAAAAAGTAAAATTTAATGTTCAAAAATATGGCTACCTACTCCTCCTGCGGCAGAAGCTGGTATCGAGTCACGTGGGAAGATGGGAGGAGAAGGGAAGTGTAAGGCTACTCTGATTTTTATGATGGTGATAGGAGTTTTAGAGCAGAAGAGCATCAGAATACATTGTACTTAAGAGACAGAACCATAGCAGCACATGCAGAATGAGTAAGAGTAGGAAGACAGAAAGTAGAAAGAAGCAAGTACGATGCAGGCTTAAACTTCAGACTCTCAAGCCCTCACCAGACATTAAAATTTGACAAGTTGCTGCCAGGAATGCTAGAGAAATAGTAGTAGAGGAGAGACAGTCTGCATGGCCTAATAGATCCATCACACCTGTCCCACAAGAAGGTTCTGATGAGAGGTAAACAAGAGGCAGAAGAGTCTACCTGATACCTTTGTGAAAGTGTAATTTATTGCTTGGGGCTGGCAAGAATTCAGGATAGATGTGAGGAGGCTTTATTTTACAAATATTGGCATGTGAGGCTAGTGACTGTGTGCAATGTTCCCTAAGATTTCAAATGCAGGACAAGGGGCAAATTTGGAGAGAAAGACACTGTAGTACATTTTATAATTTTGGGGCCGGGAATTTAGCTCAGTGGTTCCAGTGCCTGCCTCCTCACAAGCACAAGGACCTGAGTTCGATCCCCGGTACCAAAAATAAAAAAAAAAATTATAATTTTACTTAGATCCACTGAGTCTTTCTTCTAATGCTCTTCTCAGATAAGAGTTTCTGAGCACCCTATGTAAACCACTGCCACTGTCATCACTATCTCAAATGCTCAGCACTCCCGTTCCCCTTTCTTTGCTTTATTTATTCCCTCTTCCCTCTACAGTGTAAATTCCACAGGGAGATATGTCTCTTTTTTCATTTTTATTTTCTGGTATCTAGTATAAAGTGATATTGCAGACAGATGGCAGGTACTTAAATATTTGTTAAATGAATGCATATGAGTTTGAGGTTCCATGAGACCTCAGGTGGAGCAGTCCAGTAATAACTATATTTGTGAGTTGGGCTTAGGGGAAAATCTGAGTTTTAGGTAAACACTAGAAGTCATCTGCTACTGGTACAAACTAAAGCTAAGAGGCTGGATGAGATCTGAATTTATGGGAAAGATGATTTTCTTGTTTGGTTGAGGAGATTTAGAATTCCAAAAGAAAAGGTGTCATCCCCAGCCAGGCCTGGCCACAGAACATAAGCAGGTCACCACAAATGCCATCAAATGCCGTCATCTCTTCCTGTTTCCCTTAGACAAAGCTAGCAGTTTCTTGGAAAGTTTTATGACGTCACAAGGGGTAAAACAGCCAACAACAGCATTTATCATTTATTGAAAAACATGTTAATAATTCACTGCTTCAATTAACATTTACTGTTAATCAAGATTCTTGTCTGAAAGCCTCATACCCAAGCTCAGCAGGTCGGTTTAGAATCAAGTTCCATCTGCCTGTGATGGAGCCCACAAAGAGACAAATGCCAGGTCTACTTAAAGCTGGAGGTAGGGATCATCTTTCAAAGCAGGCTGTTCTTGGAAGCCAGCTCCCCTAGGAAGTTAAGAAAAGCAAACTTCTGCCTCTAAAAGGGACCCGAATTTCTCAAAGGAAACAGCAGAATATTTTCTCTACATGAAAGAGACCACTGAAGTTTTCTACTCAGTCTTTTACATACCCTTTAAGAAAATGTTATGTCACTCCATTTCTTCCTTTCCCTAGGCTGGAACACGCTTTATATCCCTATCTATATGTATTTTGGATCTGACAGTGTCTTGTTTGATCATTTATAACTTGGTCATTTGCTGATAACTGTTTTTGCCAAAAACTAGTGCTTCCCTTTGAACAGGAAAAGGGCAAGAATGGATGTTTTGTTTTAACCACTTGTTCTTACTATTGCTGCTATAATTATATAATGCATAGAATCTTAGTTAGAAAAGTTGTAATTGCAGTTAAGAATGTTTTAGTGGGATGAAACAATATTAACAGTTTACTAGATATCATTGAACCAACAGAGATTCTACTTTTTGGCTTAAGTAGCAATTATTCAGTTTCTCTGAGCCTCACTTTGTCCATCTATACAATAGAAATAATATGGTATGAAACTCAAGAGGTTATTTCAACATTAAAGGAAACATTGAGAAAGTACTTGCACATAAGCTATTTCCTTGGAAACACTAAAACATTTGGACTATTTATGTGCCATGGGTGAGATGCACTTCATGATTTTAGGGAATGAGTGTGAACACACTGCCTTTATGGTTTCCAATTATTTACTCCAGCCTTTTTACTCATTCAGCTTTTACTGGATGATTACTATGTACTAGGCACCGTTTCTTCGGCTGAGGATCTACTTAAAATCCCAATCCTCCCTGGAAATTTCAGTTTAATCCTGGGAGAAATACAAAATGAATACATTCATAACAAACCAATCTTTCAAGTATTCACTCATCTGTTAGCACTTTTCCTCCATCTTCCAAACTAACTATAAACTAGTAGCTAGCTTAGATTAGAAAGATGCTAGACAGCTAAATGGATAGATACAAAGACAGAGAGAATATTAGGTGGTACAGTAGTCCCCCATTTCCCACAAAGGATGTGTTTCGTGGAACAATGGAAGCTTGAAATTTTAGACAGTGCCAAGCCCTGTATACACAATGGTTTTTCCTGTACATGCAAATGTATGATAAAGTTTAATTTATTAATGAAGCACAATCAAAGATTAATAACTTTAATACTATAACATAACAATTACAACATTATGGTTTAATAGAAATAACAGCATCAACAGTCTTGTTCTTTGGGGCCACTTCTAAGAAAAATAGGGGTCACTTGAATACAGGTGCTGCAGTACTGCGATAGTCAGTAACCTTATAACCAACGAGGTTCCTAAGTGACACATATATAGCATGGATATGATTGCCAAAGGGATGATTCACAACCTGGATAGGACAGAGCTGGATCGTATAAGATTTCATCAATCTGCAGCATGAAACTTATTTTCTGGAATTTTCCATTTAATATATTTGGACCACGGTTGACCATGGGTAACAAAATCACAGATGGGGGAGATTATTGTAGTAAATGCTGACCTGAGAATAGCAGCATGATAGAAGTAGGCCTACCCTAATTTAGGTGTCTTAGAAAAGTCTCTCTGGGAAGTGCTAGGGACATGGAAGTCAGAGGAAATGCTATGCAGGCAAAAGGAATAGCTGATACAAAGGCCCTGTGGTGAGAATGAACTTTCCTGTTGCAGAAGCAGAAAGTCCCTTGTGGGCAAGGAAAACAAGGACAACAGAAGGAACTGGGAGAGGGGTTCAGATCTTGTAGGACCTTGTAGTCCATAGTAGGAAGGTTTTATTATGACAAGGATGTCAGACCAGTAGAATGATTAAGCAAGGTGGTGGAAGATTGATTTACATTTTTTAAAGTTAACTCTGACTGTGTGGAGAGTGAGCCAAAGTAGGAATTGGGGGGCTAGCAGACCAAAGCAATGTCAGTAGCTGAACTAGCATCATAGAAGTAGAAATAAAGAAAAGCAGATAGATTCACTTAGGTTTGGGAAATATAGTCATTAGGGAGTATCGATAGATTGCATGTAGGAAAAAGAAAAACAGAAATCTAAGGTTTGTTACTTAAGCAATTTTCAGAAATCCAGTCTTGAAGCCTTCACTGTGCCCAAATGAGCAAGAATACTACAGGCTCATTCCATTTTATGTTGATCCATCCTACTTTCAAAAATAAGTGAAAAAGGAAAGCCAGAAAGTACGTTCAACGCATAGCTTCCACTGTTCTCACTGACATCTCGTGATATTCTAGCACTGGCTTTAAAAGAT